GATAGATAGATAGATAGATAGATAGATAGATAGATAGATAGATAGATAGATAGATAGATAGACGGAGAGATAGATAGATGGATAGATGGAGAGATAGGTCGAGAGAAAGATGGATAGACAGACAGATGGATAAATAAATAGGTGGGGATATATAGATAGATATAGATGGAGAGAGAGAGATGATAAAGATAAATAGATGGAAAGATAGATGGAGAGTTAGACATAGATGGATAGATGGATGGATGGATGGATGGATGGATGGATGGATAGATAGATAGATAGATAGATAGATAGATAGATAGATAGATAGATAGATCAAGTGGCAGGAAAATCAGGAGATTTAGGCAGTTCAAATAAGTATCAAGACTGATTGAAAGCTTAAGCTCCCTGAATCTGAGCTACTAACGGTCAGGGGGGAAATGAGCGGGAGATAAGAAAGTAAGTCAAGGTGGGCTGGATTGAGGTCGCTTTTGAGCACACAGGGATTCTTCACTGATGACGCCTTTGACCCAGGTCATCTCCAGTGCTCCTGATCAGTTCCCCTTCTTCTCTCTCCTCTTCCTGCTTTGGGTTTGTAGGGCCCGAACGGCGGATTGTCCTGGTGGGCAAAACTGGCAATGGGAAAAGCACGGTGGCCAACACCATCCTGGGAAGCCCGGTCTTTGAATCCAAGATGTCGTTCGGCTCTGTCACCCAGACTTGCCAACGGGAGGAGGCTGTGCTGAACAGCCGGAAAGTGATGGTGGTGGACATGCCGGGCTTCCTCGACACGGCTCGTCTCAAGTGGGAAACCTCAGCCGAAGTGAGCAAGTGCATCAAGCTTTGCATGCCAGGCCCCCACGTCATCCTGCAGATGTTCCGCCCTGCCCGCTTCACCCAGGAGGAGAAGGACGTGGCACGCTTGATCAAGGAGATCTTCAGCTTGAAGGCCAAGGATTACATGATCATCCTCTTCACCCGCATGGAGGACCTGGAGGGCAAAACCCTGGAGAAATTCATCACCGAAGGCAACGCGGGCCTGAAGGAGCAGGTGGACCAGTGCGGCAACCACTTCCTGGCCTTTAACAACAAGGCTGAAGGTGCGGAGCACGAAGCTCAGGTGGGCCAGCTGATGGCCATGATTGATGCGCTGGTGTAGAAGAACCATGCCGCGCCGCGCTACACGTAGGAGATGATGAAGGCTGACAAGAAGCACTTGGCCAAAAAACAGGACTTGTCCTAGCTGTGTCCTTTGCTTTGAGGGGGATGGTGGCGAAACGCTCGGGGCCAGCTTCCAGGCGCCACAACGGCAACTCCACGGATCGTCTTTTGCTCGGCTCGTCCCACTTCAGCTTTCCGCTTCCCCCTCCGGAACTCCCCCACAGGAGAGTTTCATGGCGTCGTTTCCCTGAGCTGATTCCGTCTCCCGAGAAGCTGGTTTCTCCACGGGGTTGAAAGGGGTCCCTCCTTCCTCCCTTCCTTTCCTCATTGCTTCATTCCTCCTTCCTTTCTTCTTTCCTCCCTCTTTTCCTTCCTTCCACCTTTTCTTCCTTCTCCCTTCCTCCCTCCCCATCTCCTTCTTTCCTTCTCCCTTCCTCCCTCCTTCCTCATTTCTGCCCCTCCTTCTTTCCTCCCTCCCTCCCCATCTCCTTCCTCCTGCCTTCCTTCCTCCATTATTTCTCTCTCTCCTTCTCTCCTCCCTCTCCCCATCTCCTCGCTTTCCTTCCTCCCTTCCTTCCTTCCCACCCCACCTCCTCCCTTCCTCCCTCTTTCCCTCCCTGGGTGAACACGCTTGCACTTCACAAAAATTCAGCAGCAGGTGCCCGTACACCTTTATTATTATTAAATTTGCAATAAATAAAATCATAACATTAAAATAAATAAAATAAAATTCATCATATTTACGTTTAACATAATGTGCCATTCTAATAATAGTCAATCAAATTGCTTTTATTAAGGTGTGATCTCTCCTTATCTTAGGCTATACTGCACTACTAGTTCGATACCCGTGCTTTGCTACAAAACTATGTGAGGATTTTTGTTTGG